ATTCAAACAAATTTTTTCGAAAGGAGGAGAGTTTCATATTCTTAAAATCATTTGGAATAGCATTGTAAGTGGTCGATACATTATAGGAAAAACTTCTCTCAAACAATGATGATTTATGGATTGGTGGTGTACCTGTCGATCTTATATTCAGATTGTGAACGTCAGTGCGGAACACAATCTTTCTATAAAGGTACGAGGGAGTTTGGGTAGTGATTATTTTGTGATATAAGGTGGAGCAGTGAAGTTTTCGGCAAGATTTCACATTTAGCCACCCGGCTTCTCGTAGCTTATGACTGATGGGTTGACGCCTACGAATACCATAGATGAAACGGAGACAATAGTTTTGGATTTTTTGGATTTTCTGCATAGAGCTATAGACTGTATCGCAATAAGTAAAAGTAGAAAGAGCTAGAGACTCGCAAAGCATTTTTTTAAGATCCAAATTCAAAGTGGCCCGAAATCCAAACAAAATTTTCAGTTTCCAGATACTTTTACGAATGCATTCCGATATATGCTTTTCGAATCGTAAGGAGTAATCTATCCAGAGCCCAAGATTCTTCACCACATCACAAAACTGTACAGGAATGTTATTGATAGTAACACAAATATTTTTTTGGTGAAGAAGTCTGTCATTTCGCCTTCCGAATAGCATTGCCTTAGATTTATTTGGATTCAATGAGAGAGAATGATCTTTGGATATTTTGAAAATTCTATCAAGGTCTTCGTTGATTTTGTGACAACCATTCACTCTGATGGGTGGAAAGAATACATCACCTGAGTATCATCCGTATACATTTGTAGATAACAATGCGAGACAACATATTTGAAAAATGCTGTGAAAATTACATAGGGAATTGGTCCCAAAATAGATCCCTGTGGAACCCCACATGTCAGTTCTTTTGTTTGAGAAACCCTAGTATTGAGTACAACTCGTTGCTTTCGACCACTTAGATAGCTATCAAAAAACAAAACAGATTCTTCTGAGAGTCCAATATATCTTAGAATATGTTTCAGCGCAGAATGATTTAGGGTATCGAAAGCTTTCCAATAGTCTAAGAGAACTAGAACAGTAATCATTCCCGGGTCGGTTGCCTGGAAGATACGATCTGCCACATTCAGAAGGGCTGTCGCGCAGCTATGTTTTTTTCTGAATCCAGATTGAGTATTCGGCAAAATATTATATGTTTTCAAGAATTCCCCAAGGTGATCTTTCATACTTCTTTCTAATAATTTCGAGACAACGGGTGAAATGCTGATTGGTTTCAGGCTCACTGACCACCTCACATTTCTGTAATTGGATCACATTAGCCAATTTCCACTGAGTTGGATATACTGAATATTCAATGCAGAAGTTCAAGAGGTGAGAGATATATTCAATTATGAGTGGACAACATAATATGATGAATCTTATGTTGAGACCGTCAGCACCTGCAGCCGTTGTTTTTATTGCCAGTAAATACTTGAGAAAATACTATATGCTATATTTCATATAGCATATAGCATTTTCTCAAAACAATTTTACAAACAAATCTCTAGTGTTAGGGAACGGAATCATTAACTGAAATGTTTAAGCTTTCGACATTATTTTCATTTCTTGAAGGACAAAAACAAGCACTACAGGAGAACCCTTATGGCGCTCTAAGAGCGATGCCTGTGCGAAAGTAGCGATTCAAATTGAATCGCTGGAAATTCAATCCTTGTCGAAAAAAATTCTTAGAAAGTTTATCACACACTAACGCAGTTCTCCGAATGAAGAGTTCTTGAACAGTGAAGCTCGAGTTATACTGAGTTAGAACTTGAAACGATGAAGTTCGTCGCGTATTTCTGATATGTAACACTCTTGGCGCTAGCGTCGTTGGAAAACATACACGCAGCTTCCTTGAATTTCATCTTGAACCAGTGTTTTTCCTTGTGGATGATCTCAGCTGGAAACCACTAGATGTTTCTCTTGTGCTCGGCAACGCGGAATCTCAGAGGCCTCTTAGTTTCTCCGATATAGGATTTGCCACACTTACAGGGTATCCAGTGAAAGCAATTTTTGGAATCGCAGACTGCTTTTGGTGGCCTTGTTTCCGTGAGACTGCTATGGAGGGTGTTTCTGGATCTGAAGCAGGTTCTGATGTTGTAGTTGGACCGAATTTTTACAATTCTTTTCCACAATCCTCTGTTGTAGAAAAAAGCAAGCACAGGTTGTGGCGGCTAAACTTCCTCGTGAGACTCTTACTGTTTTCTAGCCAAAATATGTTCTACTTCTAGTTTGGAGTTACCATAACGTTGGAGATATTTTTTGATGATACCTAGTTCTTTCTCGTTATCTTTCTTTGTATCACGGAGCTTGGAAGCACGATCCACTAAGGTATTGATGATTCTTCTTCTAGTAGATTGATGGTGGTTACATTCGTGATTCAGATATTATCCCGATGAGTGGGTTTTCGGTATAAAGATGTTTTCCATTTCGTGTTGGCCTTCTTCACCAATACGTCTGAGAGTGGCAATTCGTTTTGAAGATGAGTAAAGGTCTTGCACTGTTGATGTGCTTCAGAAAGGTGTCTAGTCCTGTATTCCTATGGTTCCATACTACGTGTACGTGTCGTCAGCATATCTCAACCAGACTCGGGCTTGTAGGCTTCTTCCAAAATATTTTTATCCCAAAAATTGATCTTTTCTAAAAATCCATACCTTTCAATTGAAGTTTGGCTTGTTCTTTGCATGTTTTTTGATTTTCTGCCACCCAAATTTAATTTTTTGAATGATATTAAATGTTTTCCTGGTATATAACAAACATAACACACAAATTTCAAATATTTTTTTGTCAACAAGTTCAGCAAAAAATTTCTTGGTTGAGATAAAATGAATAATCTTAATTTTTTCTTGAACAAATGAATAATTGTGATACTGCGCATTTCGTCGGGAATAGTATTGAACAGCTTAGGAGCAAGGTAATTAGTTAGTTATGGATTTTCATCAAGTATCGGCCGATTCCATCATTTATCAAATAGACTTCAACGTGTTACTCTGAATGATAAAACTTCTAATTTTGCTCAGGGTAGTATTTTGGGTCCACTTCTATTCACCTTATCTACTGCAACATTTCATGAGGCTTTGCAGCACTGTAACTATCACATGTACGCTGATGACACACAGATATATAAAACCTTTGAACCAGATAATGTCATGCAAACTAACAGAGAAATAAATATTGACTTATAATCTTCAAAAGACATATGTGATAAACATCTACTCACAATAAATCCTCAAAAGTCATGTGCTATTTTGTTCTGCAATGACAATGTCAGGAATGATATATCTCATAATATTATACTGAGGATGGGAAATGACACAATACCTTTTATTGAGAGTGCAAAGAACTTGGGTTTGATAATGGATCAAAAATTGAGATTCAAAGAACAGGTTAATATTATGTTGAAAAGAAGTTACAATAGCTTGAATTTTTGGTAAATAATAAACGTGTTATCATTATTATTATTATCTTGTTAGGATTGCTTTCGGACAAAAAATCACGAACAAGCAATGAAATGTTGGTAGGTGCATTATCGTGTTGCATGAATTGTTTCAACATGAATAGGGGTGTTTTTTTCGGATTGCTTTGAAGAAATTATTGAAGACTGATTGTAGCGGCTGCAACAGATGAAGTAGAGAATGAATACAATTGAAAATTTCATCATATTTCTGTGGCCTGTACCATTCCAAATACAAAAATGACAATGATGATCACCAAACTTGTGAAATTCAAAAATTTCTGTTACTTTTAGAACACATTTGGAATTGATCCTTTCTTGCTTTGAACACAACTTTATTCACTTACATTCCTACTTCGGCACATCCTACTCCGCCTGCTGCTACAACTCCTTTGGGAATTCGTTCTGTGTGGGAAAAGGAGACCTCCGTGCATAGTAAGAAAACTGAAACTAATAGTATTGATGTCGCTGATCTGTCGAAGCTGAAATGTAAAACAGGAAATAGTTAATAGAAAATATTGCAGAAGTAAATCATTGAATTTTTTTGACGTTTACTCACTATGAAATGTTTCGTTTGACATAAAGAATGGATATGTGGGAAAAGTGATGCAAAAAAAGTAAGAATGATAAAAAAGTTCTTTTGACAATATTTAGAAGTTTATACGACTTCTATTTTGGAAAATTGGTGTTCCTGTGAAACACTTCATTTTGAATAACCAAGTATAGCTGGCATAATTAGTTGAGTTGTGGAATTGGCCGCGGTGGTAGTGCGCCCGACTCACGATCGGAAGACCGTGGGTTCAATTCCTGCCTCGACCAGATATTTATCTGGTTGAAGCTGGAATGATTCTGCAACCGTTTTAGGAATCACACATTAAAAGGTAAGACCTCGTTAGTCCTTAGCTCGCACACGTTTCTCAAATTCTGAGACTTGTCGTTCGTATGGGGGCGACAGCTGATTAACGACAGGACACCATCGAGTAAAAAAAATTCTTTGCTTGAGGACAAGTACTTTCGAACTTTGATAATTGATAACGGCAATCTTGTTGAAGCTATATCTGTCAAATTAGTTATCATTTATTCAGGGTAAAAATAATGATGATCGTCTTTATTATTTTCAAAAAATATATAAAAAACAAAATTGAGGAAATACATCACGAAAATTTTTGAAAATAAAGGGCGAAGTTCAGTTCAGTTCCTTAATCAATTCAACAACTGAACTGTTCTTCAACTCAACCCTAAAAAATACCTCTCTATTGAATTTTCTTATAATAAAAAAAAAGAAAAACATACAAATTTGTCCACACTACGGCAAGTAAGTTTACAGAAGTAGGAGCAAACCGATGTGAAGTTCTGAAAAGCATTCGGTTTCACAAACACACATGATTTCTTTCACTGCTATCTATCCAACAGAATATAGTTTGACAGTTCAACAAAGTATCTTCCTTCAAATTCACCGCTTTTTCGGGAGTTCCGTAGGGCTCGATTTTGAGACCTCTCCTTTTCGTGTTATTTTTTAATGACGTTTCTCGGTATGTCGGGCATTCTCAATTTCTCCTATATGCCGATGATCTAAAGCTGTTTAGAAGAATCGAAAGCGAAAACGATTCTGATATGCTTCAAGAGGATCTCAATGATCTATTTACTTACTTTTCAGTATCTGACCTATCTCTCAACGAAGCTGAATGCAAAATAATGAGTTTCACATGAAAGAAGTCACCTACTATCAAGGACTGTTTCATCAATCATACCAATTTACATAGAATCAATGAGATGAAAGATCTCGGGATCATTTTTACTGGTGTGTTCAGTTTCTCTCGGCACATTGAATACTTAATATCTGAATGTTATAGAAAAATGAGCTTTGTCTTAAAATCTAGCCGTGAAAAGTATGAAAGCGGCTGCCAAGACCACACGGAAACAACAAAAAACTCGAGATACACCGGTCATATTGCATAGACCGGTGTATCTCGGTGTATCTTGACCGAAAATTTAAAGTATGCGGTTTGTTTATTGATTTCTCAAAAGCGTTCGATTGTGTAGATCACGGGTTATAAATTTTGAAGATGAATAGACTTGGGGTGCGGGGAATTGCTCAAGATTTGATAAAGACATATTTTCAGAATAGGAAACAGCAAGTCATTGTACAAGGTGTGAAAAGTCAATCAATAACAATAAGACAGGGTGTTCCTCAAGGATACATATTGGGACCACTTTTCTTTTTGATTTATGCTAACGATCTAGTAAAATATCTTTATTACCTTACGATGGTACATATAGATGCATATGCAGACGACACCAACCTTTTGATTAAATCAAACAATCCCATAGTACTTATGGAAAAGAAATAACTGAATTGGTCTATAAAAAATAATTACATGGGCTACTGGAAACCATCTACCACTCAACATCGACAAAACAGTGGTAATGAAATATTCGCTAGGTAATATGAATGACTGTCTTAGTATATTTAAATGTAACGATCTGGAGTTTACATCTTCCTCAACAACAAAAATGCTTGGGCTCACTGTAGATCACAGACTTACGTGGAACCCACATATTGACCTACTCTGCGTATCATATAAGATACGGAATTCTAAATTGTGGGACGGGATCTTCTGCACAAAGAGTTTTTATACTCCAAAAATATGCAATTCGAATAATTGATGATCTAGAATGGCGACAGTCATGTAGAGATTCCTTTAAGAAATTGAGAATTCTCACTCTTGTTGGTTTGTATGGATATGAATCATGTGTTTATGTATTCAAAAATATATCTTCATTTGAAGCGAATCGACAAAATAATGGCTACTCAACTCGAACAAAAAATTCATTGGTAACTGCAGCACATCGAACCACACTTTTTCAAAAAAGTCATCTATACCTTGGCCCAAAATTTTTCAATAAGTTGAACAGCACAATAAGAGACTCGCCTAATATATCGATTTTTAAAGCACGATTGAAATCTCAAAAAAAAACTGTTATACCATCAATGAATTTTTTTCAAATCAATAATTCTTCACTCTAGCCAGACCCTTTCATATGTATCTTAGACTATAAATGTTTTGAATTTGTAATGTAATATTATATTCATTATGTTTTACACTCCATGTGTATGTTTGACTGTAAATGTTTTTTAATTTGTATTGAATTTTGTTTATTGTGTTTTGAACCTTATGGACGTCTTCCTTGTTACTGTGTTCTATTTTGTGGAAGGAATTTTATACTTTTCAACAAGAGAAGTTGATGAATATTATTATTATTATTATAATGTCAAATTGTGAAACATTCTCTAACTCTAACGACAACGAAGACAAAATTATGGCTTCCTATCACCACTGAAGTACATTAGGAGATGAATGTGATACTAATAATCTATCAGCTTTTCTCAAGAATATTAATATGTTCCATGCTCTCTAAGTCTCTATAAATATATCTACAAGTCGCTGAAGACCCAAGAGGTCAATGCGACTGTTAAAGAATAAATGACAAAAATTTACTGTGAGGACCGAGTGAATCTTTGCAGCGAAAATTTCAGCAAAGTTTGAAGCTTTATAACACTTACAACAATGAGTCGATTGCAAACTTTCATTTTATAGAGTATTTCATTGAAATATTTCTTTGGAATATGAGCCTATGACTCTCAAATGGTCGTCACTAACTACTGGGATTTTTCACAGAATTTTCACTCACCTGAAAGTGAATAACATGATGATGGGAGTTCCACTTGCTACCAAGCTCTTTCGGAACCTGGAAATATGTATATGTGAATGCTTTCATGACTTATATAGTCATTATTTCTTGAATAATGAAGATGCGAAAATGCAAATGCAAAATATGTTTATTGATGGAGATGTTCAGCGAATCAGAACCAAAGCGGGACTCTGATTTTGAAAAAATCAATAAAAAAAAATAGCCTTGTTATTGTTATTCTTGCATGAAATACATGCAAGATATAGTGCATTACATAGGCTAAAGAATTCTGTAGAAAACCACTGATTGGTTTTATGTTTCCTAAGTTACCATAATATATGTAGTTTGCTTAATACCAGCAAAAATCTCAAAGGATATTGAGAACTTATATTTTCAAGAAGTTAACTTTCGATATTATTTCTTTGTAATTTGGTTTTTTTACTTAATAAAATTGTTATTTTCAGCTATTTATTTTTAATTCTTCTTTTTTTAGGTGTTTCAGGGATTTCAAATCATTTTATATATTAGACAATGGAAGTCCGAACAAGTGAAATGCATTATTGATGTTCAATGTTGTCAATTTTTTTTTTGTTTTGTTATACTGATATCAGGTGAGGTATATGTATGTCAAGGTCGCTAAAATTATCCTCTTGGTGCGATACTTCTTCCTCATGCTATGTTGTGCCCAAAATTCAAAGAATGTTTCAAATCAAAACAACGATTTCGAACTGTCATTAGTTATTTGAAATAAATTTCTGTTAGAAATCCAATAATTATCATATCACATCGATATTGCGTGATGTTTTCATCATTCTGGGATGTTTACCATCATATACTGAGTGTATGTTCGTATAGCTCCCGCCATATAGAACGTGATCTGTGATTTATGCTGTGTGGTGGAGTATGCAAAAAAGAGGATCTTCCGGTGAGATATCGGTGCTGCCCACTAAGAGCGCCCGTACTCTAGCCACATTTTGCGGTCGGATCGACCACACAATTGCAGTGGCGTTCCAGCGAACTCAAGCCGCTCATAAGAAATACTGTACTACACGTACACAGGCGTTCACGAAAGTCAAATCAGGCTTCTGCAGTCAACTTGCTGCTGATCTCCGCCGAGATGTCATCGCGGCATCCGCCGTACACTAACCACAAACTTGCAGTCGTACCCAACCGCGTACATAATGGTCTCACAGCATTCAATTTTTGATGTCAGTTGCCTCAACTGCAAGTGCGGTTTATATGACCGCAAGTCGACCACAAAAATGTGGTTGGGTCAACCGCGAAGTGCAGTCAACGTGGCCACAATGTTGTGGTTGCTTTAACTGCAAATATGTGGTCCGTGTATGGACGGACAAAGACCTTTCCGACTACCATATCTTTTTCTCATTGTACATAGTTTAAGATCTCATTTTCCACTAATGTTGGGATTAAGAGAAAAAGTTCTCCTATTTTAGGATTGGTATCCTGCCTCTTCTGATGGATCAAAAGTGGCCGAAAATCACGTGGCTGGCACTGTTAATTCTCATAGAGAACCCGCACAACAACACAGGTATTACATCTTTTTGACTAAAGAAAAAGGAGGTACAAGAAAATGGCATCCCTCAAGGAACATCTCTTAGTGTTACACTGTTTCTTGTAGCTATGAACAACATTCTCAAAGACAACAAAATGCCAGTGAAGGCCAACCTTTATGCAGATGACCTAGTCTTGTACGTTAGTGGAAAAAATACCAAAACAATATGCAACCTTCTACAGCAAGCAATAAACAGCTTACAAACACCGTCCCGATACTCAGGATTTCGCTTTTCTTCGAGCAAATCTAAAAGTATGATCTTTTCAAAACGAACTGATGACAGCATTCCAGTCCTCACTCTGAACGGGGAGCAGTTGAGCTTCACTGATAGGATAAAATTTCTTGGTTTGATTTTTGATAACAAAATGAAGTGGAATCATCATATGGCTTTCCTCAGAAGGTCTTGCACGAATGGTCTCAATTTAATGAAGGTTCTAGCCAATACTTCCTGGGGGGCAGAAAATACCATTTTGTTGAACCTTTATCGAGCCTTAGTACGATCCAAACTAGACTATGGATCCATAGT